ATTAAAATTTTATTATAAAAATTAATTTTAAAAAAATTAATGCAGACAAATTTGTCTGTATTACAATCTAAGGGATATATTACCTTGTTTGGATAAGAGATATATCAATAGTAATTATATACGTAATTGTGGGTATTCAAATCTGGACCCAAACCAGTTTTGCTAAATTTCATTTTAACCATTTTGTAAAGAACAATTGCTTAATATTCAATTAAGAAAATCGACAATAAGAATCACTAAAAAATTTTGTTATGTAAAAAAATTATATACTACACATTAATTCGATTTTTATACATCAAAAAAAAATATCACAAAGCTATTTAAAAATGTTTTTTTTTTCCTTTTGCTACTTCATTATTTTTATCACTTTCCTCTTAAACTTTCAAATTACATATATACAAGACATAATACACAAAATCTACAACCTGAACAGAAATATGAACATGAATATTTAGACAGAAATACTCAAACATAAACATGAATACTTAGATGAAAATACTTAAACATGAACATAAATACTTGGATAGAAATAACTTAAACAGAAATACTTGGATGTGAATATTTAAACAGGTATATTTAAACTTTAAAGTATAAATTAAGTTAAAGCTATCTTGATAAAATATTAAAGTATTAATAATTCAAGAGAAACAACCTACTCACTCTACTAAAAACTGAACTATAACTAGTATTGGTAGAGTAAAAGATTAGTTGGAATTTACTTTCCCAATCAATAAGATATACCTTTTTATAATAGTTGGAATAAGTAGAAAATATATTCTTTGAAATTAAATATCTTAATATTTAGTTTAGTTTTAGTTTTTTTTTATAAATAAATTTAATAAATATGTATTTACAATTGTAATAAATTTAATAAAATTAATAAAGTTAATAAAGTTAATGTTAAAAACAAATAATAAAAATTTAAGTATAAATTTTTAAAAATGAATTAAAAAAATTATTCATTAATAAATAAGGGAATATTTTTATAGCACTATAGTGCCATGGCACTATCATTATAATAAATAAATAATGTATAATCATGTGTCACATATATTTATTAAATCAATATGATGCAACATAGCACAACATTATTAATATATTTGAATAACTTTAATGAAAACAAAGAGATGCATTATCATGTGACATATGACCAATCAAATTATAGAATTTTGATGATTACCAATGAAGCAAAAAAAGCAAAATACAAAAAATAGCATTCTAATCCTACTTTGGATGGGTTAAATAAAAATGACAAGAAGGCAATTTTGCTTATCTATAACTACCTAAAATCCTCTCTAACCTTACTCTACAATGATCATAACCCTAAAGCTAATTCGATAAAATATATAAGAATCTACCTTGCTTTAGATGTCCCTATTTTTATACATATCTTGTATGTTTTTTATATATATCTGGTATGTACATACAAAAATTCGATTTCGTGCAACTAAATTAGCTGATGCTAATAATATCACAATCATGATATCTTACCGTATATACATATGTACATAATGATATCTTAAACCTAAAAATCTCAATCTTATGTAATACAAATTAGCACAGATATGCATACAGTACGTACATATAAACTAAAGCGCCCTAAACCCTAATATGAAAAGAGGACATGATTAATGCTTTCTCTAACCCTAACTATAAAAAAGAGAGGATACTTATAAAAATTGAATACAACCTATACATATTATAAAAACTTAATTTTCACAATCTGTAATGCCGTACTGTAATACTTTACTAACTTAACTTCTATATAATATAGATATAATGCCTAAAGTTATCGATCTCAATAAAGTTCAGAAATCTAGAATACTCAACTCGTGTATAAATAATACTCTAATAACAATCAAACTTAATGCTATATGCTATTGAAAACTTGCTATTAAGATGATAAATTTAGTTTGTCTTTAATGAATTAACTATCTTTATTCTGATTGAAGTTTTGGATCATACAGTGTTCAGTATAATAAGACCTCAAGTGTAATTTAGCAACATAATTGATGCAAAAAATATAACATTTACAACTTCTAGAACTAAATCAGACTAGTACATATAAAACGAGTGAACAAAGCCTAATTATTAAACAAAGTAATATTTTTAGCTTACTATAGTATTTCATTGTTTTTCTTCACAACTTCTTCGATTATGACCTAAGCCATTACAAATGCCACATCGGAATTTCTGTTTTTTACTTTTTTTTGGTGGTTCATATGTGCATTGTTTTCTATCTGTTTTTTTTGGCCTTCCCTTTCCTTTGTGTTTATGAGAATTTACTAAATCTTTGGCACTAAAATTTTCTTTATCAGATTCGTTACAACTTTCTTCATCATTATCCACATTAGACTTTTCTACTTGTTGCTCTTTTAAATATTCATCTAAAATTTCAATAAGTTTGTTGTCACGATTTTTAATTGCCAAAAGTGTAGCTGCTCGTGCCTTTCCTCATGTTTTATCATATAACTGATGCTACTCAATAAATCCTTCTTTGATATCTTGTACCGTATCCGAATGATCTTTATTTAGCACATTAAAATAACTTATATTTATACTGAACTGATTACTTGAATTAATATCTTTCTTAAATTTTAGGGTGACTATAAAAGATTCACATAACTGATCACTATATGTCTCTTTATACCAGTGAGAATGTATCATTTGAATATGAAATGCTGCCATATTCATATACAACATAACTTGGAAAAAATGTTGGCAAAGAAATCCACAGTTATAGTGACCAAAGCATGTGCACAAATAAAGCCTATTATTCAAAAGAATAACAAAGTGCCGTGTATTTTTTTCTGTAATATGTTGCATAGACTACATTTCTACAATATTACTGGTATCAACAAGGTCAAGAGAAGCCTTTGCAATAATAGTAGTAAGGTTTTCATTATTGAACAGGTTAGAATTATTAAGATTAACCTATGCATATAACAAAACATTAGCCATTTTTATTTAATTAATTGTAAATAAGCATAATAACATTCATGTCCGTTATTTCGTAAATTTTATAGTATCATATATTACTTACTGATTTATAAACATTCAATTCATTTTTACTAACATAGCTCACATGATAATGAAGGGCTTGAATTATTTGATTTTCTTGAATTTTTTGTGCCTCTTCTGTTAAATACTTTTTTAATAATTGACAAACATTTGGTAGTATAGTTTCTGCAATTGAAAATAAAGTGGCTCTGAGGACTGAGGCATGAAAAAGAAAATATTCTGTTTTTATGTCTTCTTCATATATACATGTTGACAACACATCTGCAAGCCTTAAAAGTATTGTATTTGTATTAAAAATTAAGCACTTTATTTTTGCATTGTAGCTTTCTACTCGAGAAGTTGAGGACATCTCAGCTGTAAATGAAGTTAAGACAAAAGCTTTTGTCCAAGTTTCTTTGCTTGAATAAAGAGCACGTTGTAAATAACTAACGATCTTATTATTATTATATTTGTTAACCAACTGTATCCATTTATACTCAAATATAACCTCAAATAGTGATTTTTGCATTTCGTAGAAATCCTGAATAAATTCATTATATTGATTTCCAAGGCAGCTTTTAAGATTTGAAAATAGATTTTGAGAGATATGAAACATACAATGAAGAGATTTTGTTGTAGAAAACTCATCACGAATTGCTGCAGAAACAGCTAGATCCACATCAGTAAAAATTGCATGTGAAACAGCATTACGTGTGGCATTCTTTATATTCTGAAAAATCCAACTATGAGATTCCATCATTTCATCATCTATGAGTGCTTGCACTACCATACATAAGTGTAAATAATTGTCAACAATTAAAAAAATTGATAGTGCCATTTTATAACAGTTTGTTGCCACTGTGCAATCATTAAGAACAACATCATTAAATTTTAACCAGAGTTCAATCTGCTCAGGTGACATATAAAATAACTGATGAAGACACTTAGTATTAGGATCCCAGTCCACTGCCACATACTAACATAGATTTTTTTCTTTCTTTTTTAACAATTCCTTATACAAGCTAGCTGCATCATTAGTTTGATCATGTAACTTTGGATGGAAGTGCTGTATTTCTCATCATAGCACAGGTATGTAAATTGTATACTCTGGATAACTTTCTTCCAAAGCCTTACGGATCTGTTGGAGACTGCAATTCATCTTTTTTACATAAAATTTGATGTCCTTAAGCATTTTTTCACTAAATTTAAAAAACTCTTAAAAGGTACGATATGGTGGGTTAAGCTCATGATTTTTATGCTTGTCAACTATTTTTGTGACATAAATAAGCCTATGTGGATTTTCTTTTTCTGGGTAAGAAATATTTATTTGCCAGGTACATCCTATATGTTTAGATGTAGTTTTATTTTGCGAGTTCTTACTTTTCGTTTGTTCAGGACAACCAAAGTGTTCACACACTATTGTGCATCGCTGAACATCACCATTTTCTAATTTTTCTACACAAAGACGCCTAGTCCCAAATCCTTTATTAGAGATGCAAAAAAAAATTTGTTATTGTTACTTTATGCTTTATATTGAATTATTTAAGTAGATAATTACATTCATACCTTTACAACATGCATATTTCTCAATTTCTTCTATAGCAACATCCCAACTATTAAAAACCTTTTGTATTTCATAATCATTATTCG